CAGGGTAAGGACCCTGGACATCAGAAAATCAGACTTCAACTCACTCAGGAACCTGATGGGTAACATCCCCTGGGAATCCCATCTGAGGAGGAGAGGAGTCCAGGAGAGCTGGATGTACTTTAAAGAATCCTTACTGAGAGTGCAGGAACAAACCATCCTCATGTGCAAGAATACTAGCAAGTATGGCAGAAGACCAACTTGGCTTAGCAGGGAACTCTGCAGTAAACTAAATCACAAACAGGAAGCTTATAAGAAGTGGAAACTTGGACAAATACCTGGGAAAGAATATAAAAGCATTGCTTGGGCATGCAGGGATGAAGTCAGGAAAGCCAAAGTGCAATTGGAGTTGCAGTTAGCAAGGGATGTGAAGGGTGACAAGAAGGGTTTCTACAAGTATGTCGGTAGCAAGAGGAGGATCAGGGAAAGTGTAGGTCCCTTACTGAATGGGGGAGGCAACCTTGTGACAGAGGATGCAGAAAATGCTTAAGTGCTCAGTGGCTTTTTTGCCTCAGTCTTCAGAGGCCAGCTCAGCTCTCAGACTATTCTCACCAGGTAGCAGAGCTTAGGGAGGAGGTGAGCAGTCAACAGGGGTGAGAGAACAAGTTAGGGGCTAGTTAGAAAAGCTGGAAATGTACAAGTCCATGGGGCCAGATGGGATGCACCTGAGGATGGTGAGGGAGTTGGCTGATGTGACTGCAGAGCCATTGGCCATCATCTTTGAAAATGCATGGTGATCAGGAGAGGTCCCAGATGACTGGAAAAGGGCAAACATAGTGCCCATACTTAAGAAGAGGAAGAAGGAGGATCCAGGAAACTACAGACCAGTCAGCGTCAGCTTAGTCCCTGGAAAAATCATGGAGCAGATCCTCAAGGAATCCATTTCTAAGTACTTGGAGGAGAAAAAGGCGATTAGGAACAGTGAGCATGGATCCACTTAGGGCGAGTCATGCCTGACCAACCTGATTCGCCTTCTATGATCAAGTGACTGGCTCTGTGGATGTGGGGAGACCAATGAATGTGGTGTACCTTGATTTTAGCAAGGCTTTTGATACCGTTTCCCACAGCATTCTTGCAGGCAAGCTAAGGAAGTATGGGCTTGATGAATGGACTGTAAGGTGGATAGAAAACTGGTTGGTGCATCGGGCTCAGAGAATAGTAATCAATGGCTCAATGTCTAGTTGGCAGCTGATATCAATTGGAGTGGCCCAGGGACTGGTCCTGGGTCCAGGTCTGTTCAATGTCTTCATCAACGACCTAGAAGATAGCATAGAGTAGGGGTGGGCAAAATGCAGCCCACAGGCCAGATGCAGCCCACCAGGTCATTCTATCCAGCCTGCAGCGCCCCTAAAAAAATTAGAAAATTAATATTTATCTGCCTCTGGCTGCCTGTCATGTGGCCCTTGATGGTTTGCCAAAACTCAGTAAGCAGCCCTCCACCTGGCATAGAGTGCACCATCAGCAAGTTTGCAGATGACACCAAGCTGGGGGAGTAGTAGATACACCGGAGGATAGGGCTAGGATTCAAAGTGATGTAGGCAAAGTAGAGGTTTAGGCCAAAAGAAATCTCATAAGGTTCAACAAGTACAAGTGCAGAGTCTTGCACTTAGGGGAGAACAATCCCACGCACCAGTCCAGGCTAGACAGCAGCAATTCAGAAAAAGACCTGGGGGTTGCAATGGACAATAAGCTGAATATGAGCCAGCAGTGTGCCTTGTTGCCAAGAAGGCTAACGGCAAACTGGGCTGTATTGGTAGGTGTGTTGCTAGTAGGTCAATGGAAGTGATTATTTCCCTCCATTCACCACTGGTGAGGCTACATCTGGAGTACTGTGTCCAGTTTTAGGCCCCCCACTACAGAAGGGATGTGGACAAATTGGAGAGAGTCCAGCGGAGGACAACGAAAATGGTGAGGGGGCTGGGGGACATGACTTATGAGGAAAGACTGTGGGAACTGGGCTTATTTAGTCTAGAAAATAGGAGTCTGAAAGGGGATTTAAACAGCAGCCTTCAACTACCTAAAGGGGGATTTGAAAGAGGATGGAGCTAGACTTTTCTCAGTGGTGGCAGATGACAGAACAAGGAGCAACAGTGTCAAGTTGCAGCAAGGGAAGTTTAGGTTAGGTATTAGGAAGAATCTTCTCACTAGGAGAGAAGTAAAACACTGGAACAGGTTACCTAGGGAGGTGGTGGAATCTCCTTTCTTGGAGGTTTTCAAAATCCAGCTAGACAAAGCTTTGGCTGGGATGATCTAGTTGGGGATGGTCCTGCTTTGAGCAGGGATTTGGAATAGATGATCTCCTGAGGTCCCATCCAACCTTAACGCCCTATGATTCTATGAGTGCAACAATGTAGCCATGGTTAAACAGGCTTATTATCACATCCATTACTTCCAAGCATAAACACACACACAAAGTCTGTGAATTGGGTCTGTTAAGTGGCTGCCAAGTGTATAAACTGTGTATACCCAGGGCCCCCTGCCATGATAGTCAATGATCATCTATTAACCCTTAATTCAAAATGAAATTTGATTCAAACTGTGTGATGCAAATCAGTTAACACAGTTTAAAAAACAGTGAATATGTCTACAAACGGTCTAAATTACTAACACACATAAGACTGGGACTCATATGTTCCTCCTTTGCAGTGACTCCTAGATAATATAGGCATTAATATTATACATCTTCTGTAAAGTACAAATGTTTAGAATATCCAAAACAGAGTTCTTAGAATAATTATTGAACATCATACTGCATGGCTGGATGTTACTCTAACTAGTCTCCATAGCAAATCTGCTCTAACTTGTAGGCAAGGAAAAGTAAGATTTGGGTGACTAGTCCATTGAATATGCTGATTTCCTATCCATATCTATGCCTGTTCAGATGCCTGACCACACAATACTTGCTTTCCTGTTTAAATGGAGTCCCAAACATATGACAGTAAACACATGAGATGCTGTTTTAAATATTCAAGTAGCTTGGCAATAAAAGATGAAACTGCTCAATAGAAAACACACACCATATATAAAAGCAGCATCTGTTTACTAATACTGCTATTGGGCAATGCCATGGGCAACACAGAATGTGAACATAAATATTGCCAGACCAAATAGCTAACACATTTTGCATTCTCTTCCAGGAAAAATATACTGCTTTCCCTTCATGCTTAACATCACAGTAGTCACTAATTCTGGTTATGAGTGAAATGCTGGACATTTTCATCCTGTTTTTTCCTAACAGCAAATCAAGGATACTTGTAAGTCATTAACTATGGTGAACCAAAATGGTCTAGAAGGCGTTGTGACTGACAGTTAACTATTATAGGATTAACAATGGGTTTGTTGTTTTGAGAACTATCTGAATAGTAAATTCCTCATTCCAAATCAGGAATTGAGAGAAGCCAATTAATGGAAAATGGGTGAACTGTCCAGTGGTCAGTAGCTAGCTTGCAGATTTCCCCACTAATATCCTTTGTATGGCCTTATAAGATTTCTCATATTTCCTTCTATTCCAAGGCCTTCATGAAAGTTAACTTGGTTTTTGTTTTGTTTTTCTTTTTTTACTTACCTGTGGGCTTTGGTCACCACTCCATAACAAACCTAGTTTAGCAAGGCTTAGGTTAGCAAGACTTGTGAACAAAGATACTCTTTCCCTTCCTTGTTAGCTGGTCCTTGTCACTATTCAACAGGGCTTCGTTCCTTCACCCCATGGCCAAAGATGCCAAAGCCCTGCAGGTGACACCATCTGTACAGGTATAATGAAAGCAATTCAAATACAATTTGTCACATGCTACCCTCAGCTACCTTGATGTAAATAAAAAAATGACACTTGTGCAATTACTCTGGCTTTGTGCCAGTATAACAGGGATCAGATACGGCCCATAACCTTTCAATATCCTTCTTTTGTAGACCTCTCTCTTTATGCTTGCCCACTTCTTCTCACTGTCTCTTTCTCTCTGCCTTTTCCCCTTTTTTGCTTCCTAAGGAGGGGTTGATTTAATGACTGAAGGATATAAGAATGTGTAATGACCACAATGTGTTATTTATTCTACTAGGTTTTGAATTTTTTGAAACAAGTGCCAAGGACAACATAAATGTCAAGCAGACATTTGAGCGGCTCGTGGATATCATCTGCGACAAAATGTCAGAAAGTCTGGAAACAGATCCTGCCATTGCTACTGGAAAACAGAATACAAGACTAAAGGACACCCCTCCACCACAGCAACCCAACTGTGGCTGTTAATACAGTGATTGACAAAGGCAGCTCCAGTGTGTTCTATTGCCAACAGAGTATTTATGAATGGTCTATAAGCCTTTATTTATACTGTCTTCTTAATTTATTTGGGGGAAATTTATGTTAGCACCTGGTACGGTATGTGTAAACAACTGTATAGAGATGTTATCATTAGTCTGTAAGGACTACCCATTTCTCACCATCTGGCCTTTGCATGTGGATGGCTTCCCGTTTGTCTTTTCTTTTTACTCTTTGTACATTACACTTACTGAAGCTGAAGCTGGTGCTGTGACCTCAGACCAGTTTGCCTATATCTGACTTTTGTTTCATTGGTTTTAAATTACACAATTTTCTCCTTAAGGTGTAATGACCAGGTACTTGGGAATAAGCTTTCTGGTGTCATTTATAGTTTACATAACACACTGTTGAATTAACTCACCAATGTTAAAATATCACTCAAATATAGGGAGCTTATCACTGTTCTCTCCAGACCACTTGTTCGTGGCATACTTCCTAGAGGGTAATACTGCAGCGCATCCATGGCCACCTAGGGAATTCACTGCTGCCTCTGTGCTATGCATCACAACCACTCAGAAATGCAAAGAAACAGCAGACTCCAAACTGCCTTGATCCAAAAACAGGTCCTAGCATTTGGTATAGGAAACATTTATATTAACTGCTGGCCAGGATATGGGATATGTCTCAGATCCAGGAAGTTATTTAGGCACTTGCCATCGAAATCATGAGTTAGACATCCAAATTCTTATGTGGATCTGGGCTTACATTGCACTTCCATCCATTTGATATGCACTGGATGGATTTGCTCCAACAGATGGGAGTTGATAGTTACCTCCTCTGGATTTTATTTGCTTTTTAGACAATGAATACCATCTCTTGTTGTTATCCCAGAAAAGCCAAATCCACTGTGTTCAGTTATTCAGAGCCATAAAATGTTTAACCACATTGCAATAGAAGCTGTAGTGTGTAGGTCTTCAGGAATTTCATCTTTCATTTTGTTCTTAAAAACAGATGATCTATGTGAATTTTGTAGTCTGAGGAAACCCCAATGAACAGACTGTAAAGGCCGCTTTCTCTCCTCAAATATTTCTGTAGAAGCCCAGCTGAAGGTAGTGAGATTTGTTTTTGAAGTGAAAATTAGACATTCCACTAAAAAAAGAATTTGGATGGGACTTGCCTGTGGGAGCTGAGCAGTGATTTTTGGTGACAGCACAATCAGCAGTTCACACAGATCCTGGACCTATGAACAAATTACAGTGACTTAAAAGGTTGTAAGTTCTTACCATGGAGTAACTGTTTATCTGTCCACTCTTATCTCAAGGTTAACTGAGCGCTAAATCACAAAAATCCTTGTTTTACTGAAGGCTAAGCTGCTCTGGTTTAGCTTTCACTTACTTAACATGAGGTAAGAACAGGTACCTAGACAGTTGACTTGGAACAATTGTACAGCCCATCTCCTTTAACTCTCTGTAATTTGTTTGTCTATACACAGTTTTTTGAAAATTGAGAAGGAATAAATTCCCCAGTAATTTCTTTAACTAGACTGTGCAGAAGACTTGCAAAATTGATGGAAGGTTGCGAAGATAATAGAATAATGTCCACAGATTTTAATTTTTTTAAGCATTAAAAATGGTCATTTCTTACAATGTTAATAAACTCTCACTCTACTAATTGGTGGCAATTTCTCACATCAGTGTCCTGCGGTACTTTGTACAGCTTTTTCTGGGCCGCTATAATAGTTTTCAAGTAAATGGTATTATTGAGGAGACATTAACTTGTTATTGTTCTTAATTATTTCAGCTTTAATACAAGGCTGACATTTTACTAAATACATGCAACCAAAAAAAAAAAAAAAAAGAAAGAAAGAAAAACAGAATAGGAAAGTGAGAACCATAACAGCTACTTGATACTGCTTATGGCACACAAGACTTCAAGGAAACCCCTTTACAGAACATCACTTCCTTTAGGGTATTTATATAAACACTAAGGCCACACCTGTATTAGGAAACATGGTTATTTTTAATCCATCTGAATTAATGGTAATATTCTGTTTGATTTTGGCCCTTATTCTTTGTACAAATTCATTGTATTCTTTGTTTCTTTTTGGCCCTTATTCTTTGCACATACACCCAAGGAGTATAGAAGAGGCTCTGAATTGTTAGAATCCAGATTGTTTTTTCTTCATTAGCCCAGCATTTACAATTTCTCATTCTTGGAGAGAGATCCATTTTTCTCTTATTTCTTCAAAGAACAAACAAAACCACAAATAGTGATGTAAATCACCTATTTCATTCTTCCCACAAAAACACATTTTGTCCATATATGGGGTCTGACACCACCTGCCCATGTCAACTGCACATCTCATGAAAGCAAATCTTAGCTTACACAAGTGCTAGCGTTCTCCAGTCTTTGCCTTCAGCATGGCTGCCTCCCACACAGCAGCATTAAGAAAAGGCAGCTCCATCTGCAGTTTCACCCTTCAGCAGACCCACATTGTAATTTTGCCCTGGCCTTCACTGCCCATTTGCCAGTGCAGACACTGGTGATGTTGGAATCACTAGCATAATTTTTTAAGAAGTACAAGGCAAATTTCATAAAAAGATAATCTTTGTCAATTTTAATATAATGTATTGGTATATTTATTATTTGTGTTGGTTTGGGAGGAAGGAAGGATAGCAGCCTGTAACAGGAAAGAGAAAAGTATCTCTAGCTTGGTACATTATAAGGAGTGGGAAGACAGCAGATGCGAGAGCAGAATGTTTTCTTTAGATTGCCAGCTGTAGGTTATATGAAATAAGCATGTTTACTGTTTTAATCCATAGAAGAGATAATATAAAACTCAGTCACTGGTATAGTGTTCATTGGCTTCAATTAAGAGAGTTTGGGCATGAAAAACTAAACAAGTTTCACTGTGGATCAGTAGGCAAGCTTCTGCCATCCTTTAGCCTCTATCACAGACAGCTATTTCCTGAGGCCCCATCTCCCAATTCTTCTAAATTAGGGAGTTTCTCTAAATTACAACTTTTATCACTACCTCTTCCCTCTTAACAATAACTACAAAAAATCAATTAACACAAAAATTAATTCACATCCATCTACAGAAGAGAGGTTACTAGCACATCTCTGAAGTCAGTCCTATTCCCCCTTTTCTGCAGCAATTTTGATTAAGTCTCCATGAGTCTTTCAGGAAGTTTCATTTTCCTCTCATATCAATGAAGTATCTGTCTGAGGAGCTTGCTTATTGATGATCTGGTTCTTAGGGACTCTCTGAGCTTTGTACCTGTAAACAAGCTTTGAATTGAAGATAGTGTTTTGCATTAGTCATGAGTGAACTTTTAAAGTATTCAGATAGTCAACAGATCGTATCCCCAAGCTCTGGATGCTTAGCCAAGCAATCTAGGTAGCCTGATTCTGCAAAATTAGGCCCCTGGCCTTTCAGTCAGATTGATGTATCTGGACTCTTGCACCTTTAAGCTATAAATCTTTTCAGATTTCAAGCTGGAAGCGTAGAGAAAATCACTCTTGCATTACCTCAGCATTTTGCCTTCCAGCTTTTACAGTGATTCAAAGAAGACAGCCTGTCTTTTTCTGGCTTACCATCCCTGCCACAGGTCCTATAACAAATTTAGTTCAAGTTGAGAAGAGCATCGGGACTAGTTTTTCATTTGATCATGTGTAAGTTTGCCTGACTTGACTTGTTTCATACGGAAGAATTCCCAAAAGTGCTCAGTGCCAGTCTAATTTTGTTTCTGTTATTTTACCTGGTAGTGCCATAGCAAAGGGGGTGGGAGGTGAGTGAGGTGACTGCCCTGGGCAGGGCATAGGACAGAGCTGCTAGCAGCTCATTTGGGGGGGTGCAGGGATGGGGGAGGGTGGCTCCCACCACTGTGCACACTCCTGGGAAAGCATGGGGGGGGGGTCCCCATCAGATCTGTGCATGGGGCAAGGTCAGGATGCCACTGTAGGCTTTGCCCCAGGAACCAAACTTCCTTGCCATGGCACTGCCTGGTAAAATTCTCATGGACTCCAGTGAGAGCAGAGTTAGGCCAATGCTGAGCACTTTCCAACAGCCCAGCCCAGCTGGCTTCAAAGAATAAGATTGTCCTGGCACATGTGGCCCTCATATGTTCACATGTGAACTTCATATAAGTTCAAAAGCCACTGATATAAGAGGGAACAGTCAGGGAAAAGAGTGGTCAGTGCCAGGAACAGGACCTAAGATAGTCATAACAATTATTTTTAAAGTATTTAATGAGCTGTGTCATTGAATTGGCAACTTGGGGACAGATTTTTCTAAATAAGGTGCCAAGTCTCAGTTCAGGCTCCAGTGGAAAAACCACAAAGAAGCAGGCCCCGCCTGGTCTCTGGAGATGCTTTACCATTCCACTCTGGTCAGATTTGAGGCAAAACAGCAGATACACAGAGCACTTCAGCCCCTGGGGTTATCACTCGAGCACTCTTCACTCACACTACATTTTAAAGAGAAGCTTGACATCAATGGTTTCATTTTCTCCCTGGCACAGATGCATGTAACTATTCACTCTGCATGGGCAAGTAAGGAGACTGGCTCTGAAAAGCTGAGCTTTGCAGCTTGATTTCTGATTGAGACCTAAGGCAGAAGATTGTCATAGGTAAAAAGATGTCATTATATTGAATTGTATCACTATATTACCAGCATAAGACCCGCTCTTCTATTGTAATTTCATGAGAGAGCAGGCTTTCAAGTAGCCACCCATAGGTTAGGGCCTGAACCCCATAGTGTCAGCTGAACTACTACTGCACAGTCACTACACTTTCAAGATGATGCCCTAGAACTAGTGCTACAATTATTCCTTGCATGGAAAAGCATGCCATCTTTGTCAAGCTAGAACAGTGTCTTGCTCAAAGCACAGTTAAATGATCAATCAGCAAGGTCCAAATGAAAACAATTGGAATGAGCAGCTGAAGCTAAAACTTACAGTAGTCATATGCACATACTGACAGTCTATCAAAATGGCCTGCATGCCCTGTTGAGTTGAAACTGCAGTTGCATGCTTTTAATTGTAATAAAAGTTCATTTTCAGATGTGACAAATGTGCCTGTCCTTATATCTCAGTTAACGGGTAACTGTGTTTTTATTTCATTTGGTTCACTTAAACTTGTTTGTTTGGTGTCCAAAATACATGTGAGCTGGCCTATCAAAAAAACCAACAAAAAGGCAAACCTCTAAACTAAACTGCAATGTGCGTGACTGTTACCTGGAACAGTTTGTTCCATTGTGCTTATACCTAATGTGATGCATAGAGAAACTACCTGAGCAACTAGAGCTATGTGGCCTTTCCAGAGCATCAGTCTGAAAGATTAGGTTTTCTTCCCAGTCTGTTCAGCTCTGCACATCCAGCCATACTGCCTGTACCTTATTTATTTTAGGAATTAAGTGCTATTTCCTGGTACACACAGTCTGCTGGAGTTTGATCCTAGCTTTCAGAATTCTTTAACTGTATTTTCTAGGAAGCAATTGATGGTACAAATTTTACATCTCACAGTGTCTTGGTTCCTTTAATGCTAGACAAGCTGATGATGCTTTACATTTATATATATTTTAAAAAAAATCGAATTGGATACATTTTTCAGTGCTTTATTATTGTGTTTCACCAAAATGACTGTTCTATTAGTTGAATGTTATCAGTGATTCCCTCCTTAGCCCATTTCATAGAGAGATGTGGTATAGAGCAAATGGGCCAAATTAATCTTAAATGGGACCCAACTGGAAATAGTGGAGTTATACCATCAGGGAAATGGATCTGCTAGAAACCAGGTCCTCAGCTAGTGCAAATCATCACAGATTCATTTAAACGGTTGGGGGGGGGGGCAGGGGTGAAACTTTAGTTTATACCAGCTGAGGCTGAGGTTTTGCTGTTGTCTTTGATACTTGTTTTAACTCAGAGTCAAAATTCACCAGCTGTAAAATCCCAATTCAGACTTTAGCTCAGCTAATTTTAACATATTCCTTCATTAAATTGATTTGAGTACATGTATGCACCTTTTGGGGGGTGGAATTAAGCTGTTTGTTAATTAATATTCATATAAGCAAAGATTTGCACTGCACACATAGAATATGTACATACAAACACATCCTTGACATACTCAGTTTGTACAGCTATTTACTTAGTTCACTTTTATTTTTTAAACTTCCCAGTGGAACTTATCCAGAAATTATCATTGTCAATAAAACTGATTGAGTTAAATTCACAAGCCAGAGGATTACTACTTTTGGTGACGGCAGGAGCAGATGGCACATCACTTATGCATAATGGAACACCTGGTACTGGGAGGGGTGAAGAGAACATGTCCTAATCTTCCAGTAATAACATGCTCTCACATAATGTGGAAACAAAAGCTAGGGATTGCTCACTATTTCTGATGAAGACTTTGCTTGAGTAATCCTGACATGTACCTGCAACTAGTGTTAAATGAAAACGGTGTGCTGTAATTCCCGTTTACTATATTATTAGTAATGTCATATGTGTTGTGATTCAGTTGGACTGTCAGAATGTGTAACCTATATACTTGTGTTTGTGGAACTGAAATGTCTTAAATGTTGCATGAAAATATGTTATAAAAATAGATTTTTTTTCTATTTTTGAACACCTCTAAACTGAGGGATCATGGGCCAATAAGTGCAATATTTAATGACTTACTCAGTGTATATAAATTTGTGTGAAAGGGAGAAGTGTCATGTATGTATGATATGCTGTTGATGATGGCTGTGTGGCTTATTTAAAAGATTTCTAGTAGCTATGTGTTTAGTAGTGAAATTTATACAGTCAATGCTTTATCCGTGTAGTGTTGAAAATAATCTATTCCTACTTCATTTAAACT